AGATGAGGCAGCACATCATGGGGTAACGACCCAGCAGTGGAAAGCTGCTCAGTTCCTGTAAGAGTCAGGAAGAAGCAGAGAGAGGGAAGGGTACGGAGCCACAGGGAAGATGCACATTTCCAGGGCACACCCCAGTGACCTAGCAACCAGTCAGTCCTTTCACACTAGGATGAACTGATTAGGCTGGAGTTCTCGTAATCTAACCATTTTTCCTCTGAATATTCCTGCATTAATTGGAGCTTTGGGGGGACCCCTTACAGTCAAATCATAACTCCACACTATCCAAGGCTTTGAGTTAGTATTGAGTATTGAGTTAGTAGATATAACTCTGGGGGAAGAGATACTCTCCTCAAATACTTGGTGTTGTCTTTGAAACATATGAATGTGTATTTCTTAAGGTTGACTCTTCATTTTTTTTTAAAAAATTGTGAATTTGGTTGTTTAAAACGTTGAGGCTCTGCCAGAGGCTAGCTCTATATTAAATGACCTTTGCTGGCTGATTGAGGAGCTTCTCGTTCATCCCAGAGTCTTTCTGTAGCTTTCCCTCTTTGGCGAGCGCACAGGCCATGTAATAAGGAAAGACATAATTTTAGTTATTCACTCGTATTGAGGACAGTACATTCTCTAGATTTCCCTGGTTGTTCTGCCAAGGAACTCAGACTAGGTATTTGATGTCTGGAATAGCAATGAGCAGAATTTGGAAATCCTGATCCCTCCTCCACCCCCCGCAGTGAGAGGAGTTTCTGTTTTTTTCTTGTAGGTCACTCCTTGGGAGTTGTGACATGGACTCACAGGCCATGGAGCCCACTGAGTCCCCCTTTCATGCATGAATGCAGTCACAGAAGGCCATGGGAAGTTACATGTCAAACCTAAATCAGCCCTAAAAGCAAGTGAGAGCCAGGAAGCACGGCTTGATTCTGGCACTAACATTCCAGAGGAGAGCAATTAAAATGATGGAAGATGGAAGGGCACGCAAAGAAAAGCCAAGGAATTAAAGTTACTTTGCCTAGAAAAAATTAGAAATGTGTTGTGAAATTAAAATATGATACCGATAGGGAGCTGTTTAGCCATTTTTTTTTTTTTACTAAAAAATGGCACAAAAAAGGAAATGTCAGTGACTTAGCTAATTGGCACTTATAAGAATCAGTAAACCACCATGTCCCCTGTACCTCCATGTCCCCTGTACCTTGCCAAGGATCAGATTGACCGTGACCCTCAGGTGGGTCGAGCCAGCTTATTAGGGGGTTTTCCTGGTCAAAAGATCTACCTGAGAAGTACGATTAGCAATGTTTGGCAAGAAGTTCTCGGAAATTATTCTATTATTAGCCCTTTGCTTGGGATTTGGGAAGACGAGAATTTTTAAGAACAAGCAAATTATACAAGTGTTAATTTTTCACTCTAGGCAGAAGAAAAAGCTTCCTTGCTCTCTACTTTTCTCTCTGGTGTTTCAGTTTATCATAGAAAATCAGTAACACCAGTATCTATGACACAACAGCCATCTCCCAGATGGACCCCAGATGAGGTTTTAGTTCTCCTAATTTGTAACAATAGTTCGCATTAATAGATGGAGTTTGCAAAAAAAAAAAAAAAAAGGGCAAACCAAGCTGAATTTTTCTCTCTATTCACAATAATAATAGTGGATTGTTAATAATAGTGAACAAAGATTGATATGGTCAACTTAATCTTACATAATAATGTAATAACCTAGAAGATCTCTGTATCACATGGTCCAACTAAACTATCTGTGAGCCACATAGATATTCTCGGGTAGTCACATTTTTAAAAAAAAGTAAAATGAGATGTGAAAATAAATTTAATAAGATTTTTTAAATTTCAATCACAGTTCCAAAATATTATTTCAACATGTAATTAATATAAAAATGATTGAGTTGTGTTTTGTAATTTTTGTTCCATATTATGCCCTTGAAGTCTAAGGTATATTTTACACCTAGAGCACATCTCAGTTTGAACTGGCCACATTTTAAGTGCTCGATAGCCATGGGTAGCCAGTGGCCACCACACTGAGCAGCACACCTCTAAAGATAAATATTAATAATTGGCAAATTGTATTAGAAAGAATAGTCCAGACAGGGTGGAAATCTTAAATTATTTTGAGGGAGGTGAGAACAAGACTAGACGGTTTTTATGAGGTACATTTCCTTCTATGAGAAAACTATAATTATCTTCTAAGCAATGAGTCAACATAAAAAATGTTATCCATTAGCAAATGCAGTCTCGTATTACATGATATTATTCGACCTGACTTTAAATGTCCCACTTCTGTCATTGGCAATTTTGGAAAGTATTTAGTTTGAGGCAGTAAACTTGGCTAATGCTACACATACCAAATATCTGCAATATTTGATTTTATAAAGTGCCTAATTGGCAACCTGAATAATAGACGGCTTGCAGTGATCTCAAGTATATGGCCTGGTTTTGGAACATATGAAGGCTTTTCTGGAACAGTACCCAATTCATGTTGCTGTTTGATTTATCCACAAAGGCATCCCCTGTTGCCCTAAGTTTCACATCCGACTTTTTCTCACCTTCAAAAGTCATTTTTAAAGCAATACCATCAGTAGCAGGCCAACACGGTCTCCTTTGAAAACAGTTTTTATTCCTCTTTAATCCCTGGACAGCCCATATTGGCCACCTTGGAGTAAGTAGATAAAAAGAAATGAGTCTCTTTGTTGGGTTTATTTTTGGTTGTCCTGATAATAAGTGCACTGCCAAGTGTTTTGTAACTGTGTTAAAAAGTTTCCTAGACTAGAGGAAGACTAATTCTTGCCCAGTTAGGAAATTGGAACTTGCCCTGGAGATCAGCCTATCCAGATCTGTGAGGGTAGGTGGTTTGATCTAGAACTTTCCAGATGTCCTTGCCTTTTATATTGAGTGCATTCAACTTACATTTGGTCTGAAATCATAGCCTCATTTGACCCTTGAGACCTGAAAGAATCCTTCATTCTTCCCATTCCCTATGGTGAACTCAATCTCAGGGTTATGGTTATGGTTATGGTGGAGGCCCAAGGGAAGTTCCTATTTTGAGCTGCTCAGGACTTTCCTAACACTAGTCCTGCACCTGGGCAAGTGTCCTCTGCTGTAAGCCTGCCCAAATGCCTGGCTGCTTCTCAGACTTTTGCCACACTCAAATTGGATCAAGCTTTTTAGGTCAAGTGCATTTTAACTACTGGCCATCCATGTTTTATAGCCCATAAAGTTGTTACAGAGCAAACAAACAAACAAAAAAAATTGCAAAAGCTTTTAAAATCGCAGCAAACTCATACCATGTGTTAGCAGTTATGCTGATAAATTGCTCATTTCCTATAATTTCTTACCATTCTATCTTGTGAACCCAGAGTTCCTTTATTTTATATTCATAATTTTAACATTTTCTTCATACATTTGCACTAATATTTGCCATGAATCTATCTAGGAAAACTCAGTATGTTGAAGGATTTTGATGGAGTCTTTATGTTTGTTTTTCTTTGTATCAGGATTGAACCCAGAAGTACTTACCCCCAGAGCCATATCCTCAGCCCTTTTTATTTTGAGACAGGGTCTCACTAAGTTGCTTAGGGCCTCACTAAATGGCTGAGGCTGGCTTTGAACTTGCAATCCTCCTTGCTGGGATTACAGGCATGTGCCACTGTACCCAGTGAACTCTTCATGTTCTAAAAATAATGGTGCCAGTGTTTTGAACTCTATTATAGAATCAAAACGAACTTACATTCCCCTTGAAAACTGATCATTAATGTATATTATTGTTAATGTATTGTCATAACCTTCCAAACATAAATTTCACTCCTTTCCAATAAAAACACATAAACATGGATTCGGATAGTAAGGTAACCTGCCCAAATGAGCAAATATCATCATCAGTCACATTCTTTATCACAGGTCATATCGTCTCTATATACCTGGAATCTCATTATTTTAGGGGTAAAAAAATGTTGATTCTGCTTTATGGAATGAAGAAGCTTGAAACGTTGAGTATTCCATCAGAACATCTCTGAAAGTTTAATTTGCATGAGAGCCTTTGGGACCCAGGGTCATTTTTAAGTGCTGTGGGTATTGAGTGACCGTCTGACCTGGTGGATAGATATGCTTTCTTATAAATGACAACAGCCTGTTTCTCCTAAGTGTTCTTGTAATTTCCTTCTATATTTATTTATATACTTACTAATGAGATGGAGGTCTTTAATTTGTTTGTTTTTCATGTCTAGTATTAGAAAACTATCTTCTGTGTTGCTTCTTTTGTGTTGTGTACACTGAAATGTACAGTTGTTGGTATCACTTAGATCCTAATACTTCCAGGAACCTTGCTTAATATTCTTTGAGATTGTGGTGAAAGACTTAAAAATCTCCAGTGATAATCCTCAAAACTCTGTAAGAATCATGGATTGAACCCACTGAGGTTCAGCCCCAGCTCATTTTATCTTTTCTTTTGAGACAGAGTCTCATAAGTTGCTTGGGGCCTTGCCAAGTTGCTGAGGCTGGCATATCATAAGTTGATCCTCCGGCCTCAGCTTCTTGAGCTATTAGGATTACTGGCGTGGGCCAGTGCACCTGACTGGAGGATGCCTCTTAAGTACATAAGAATCACTTGTGTGCTTGTTAAAGTTATAGATTGCTCAGCCCCAACCTCTAAGCCTTTAATTTAGTAAATCTAGACTGATGTGCACACAGGAGCCCTTCCAGGTGGTCACACTTGGAGACATTGGACGTATTTCTTAGACTTTCCTGTGTATGCATCACCCTGGGATCTTGTGAAATGCAGAGGTCAGGAGTTCTAGGGCAGAGCCTGAGACTGCGTTCCCATCAGGCTCCCAGGCAATGCTTCTGAAGCCCTCGCTTTGCATCTTGGGCCCTTTCTCTTTCTGTAACTAACTTGGCACCATTTGGTTATTGACTGTATACCTGCAGGCCAGGTTCTGACTTCCTTTCAACCTTCTCACCTTGCTTATCCTGTCTTTTTTATTTATTTTGTGCTACGCATGTAGATGGACACCGGATGCGTCTTGAAGCAGCATCAGCTGTAACAGAAGATCCCGATCCTGAAACTACAGCTAAAGGTTCCCTATCCCCAGAACCAAAGACCATGGAGCTCTCTGACAGTGACAGACCCATCAGCTTTGGCTCCACATCATCCTCAGCCTCTTCCCGCGACAGCCATGGCTCCTTTGGCAGCAGAATGACCTTGGTTTCAAATAGCCACTTGGGCTTGTTTCACCAGGATAAGGAAGCGGGGGCCATAAAGCTGGAGCTGGTTCCAGCACGGCCGTTTTCCAGCAGCGAGCTGCAGAGGGACACCCCTGCTGGGCCGCAGAACATGGACCAGAGCAGTGAGAGGCAGCCCAGGACCCCATGGAGAGTGGACACAAATGGGGCGTCCAAAACGACGGCAGACACAGCCACCAGCCCCAAGCTCCTCTATGTGGATAGGGTTGTGCAGGAGATTCTAGAGACAGAAAGGACTTACGTGCAAGATTTGAAAAGCATCGTGGAGGTAAGGCAAGCTTCGTTTTTCCAAGTTTGTCAAGCAGGAGAAATAGGCTTGCAAAATAAAGAGCAAAGCCAAGCTTTTCAATGTGGAGGATATATGTGTGTTGTCGCCCAAGATGTACAGAGGTATGAAAGTTTAAACAGATGGTTATGTAGCTAGCGCTGGGCTCACTGGGTGAACTCCCCTTCATAGTTGCACTAATGAGTCAGTGTGTGTCAGGAGTAAGGATGATCCTGTGCATGTACCAGTATGCTGTGTTCATCAATCCCACATCAGAGTGCCTTGCAGCTTGGAGCAGGCGAGAGGATGGGATGGGCCTTCAAGCCTCCCAGCAGATAGGTGTCAGGTGTATCTGACTGAACCCATTAGGGTAAGCTGTTCTTAACCCTCATCACAGTCCTCCACTTGCCTTGGAGTTTCTGATTTCATTGGCCAAGGGTGTAGCCCGAGGAGTGGGAGATTCTCAGGTGCCTCTAACACGCTAAGCCTGGAGCCACTGTTCTAGGTTGGGCCTATGCTGGTTGGTGTTTGGGGGAAAGGAGTGAAGGATGGAAGAAAAACCATGGGCTCTGTTTTGTCTTGAGTGTTTCCTTTCTGTTCACTTTTATAGTCAACAGTTTAACATAATTTGCATAAGTTATTTTTTTTATTAAATTATTTGCATAATTTATTCCATGTGAATCAAACTCAGCTCTATGAGCCAGATCATATCCTCTGGAAATCCATTTATTGACTTTGATTTATAAGCAGGTTTTTGAGCATAATGAATGACCAGTGGTGCTGGGTATGGTGGTGCATGCCTGTAATCCCAGCACCTTGGGAGGGTGAGGCAGGAGGATCACAAGTTCAAGGCCAGCCTCAGCAACTTGGAAAGATCCTGTCTTAAAATTTTTTTTAAAAGTGTTGGGGGGGGGCGGGGGGATGTAACTCAATGGTAAAGTGCCCCCAGGGGTTTAGTTCCCAATACAAAAACCTAAATAAATAAATACAATGATCATTGAAGCTCACATGTTATCTCATTCTTAATTTATGATTAAGAATATTCTATTCAATAGCAAATTTGTATATTACAAAGCTACACTCACTTTGCTGCCTATTAAGATTAAATTCTTTCATTTGTTAATACCTATTGCCTATTTTAGACTTCTAATTTAAAATGCGCTTCAGAATGTAGTGGACTATTTGCTAATAAGCACATTCTGTACTAAATAAATACATTCTTATAGCATTAGCCCCTCAAAAAAAAA